CGTCACAGTAACCTCTAAGAGAGTGCATAGCCACCCAATCTCTTTCCGTCGTTTGTCCAGTTCAATACCTTTTCCATGTAAGCAGTGGTGACTTTGATTTCATCGCCAAAGCGTTCCTTTAACAACCTCTTAGCCTCTGCATAGCCTCTTCTGTCTTCCATATGCAGACACCTGCGGACCAGATGGTTGGGCTGACCAGAGGTGGGCTGTTCCTGGTAATAGAGCCTATCCTGGTGGCTGATTGTCTTATCCTCCCTGCCATGCTCAGATGCTCCAGAAATGGCCTATAGTTTAGTGGATCACCGTCCAACACAAGGATCTCCCTAACGGGGAGTGAGGCCTGTTTGTGCAGTACAAGGAGATCAGCGATTTCATTCTGCCTTTGCGTGACAGTAGAGAGGTTATCATGGCTGGTATTATGGCTGTTACCCACAGTGTTGATTCTGATTTTATTGCTAGACCTTGCAGTAGTTTGCTGAAGGGTATTGTTTATGACTGTTTTCTGAATGGGTTTTGGGTCTGTTGTTGTAAAACCATTTGTAGTGGGGTCTTTTTGCACCTAATCCTGCAAACTCAACAGGTGACGGTTCAGGTTCTTCAGAGACCTTGGGATCCTGGTCCATTCCATCTTCTTGGCTTTAGTAAGTGGGCTGCCACGGCATGGGATTGAGAAGCTGACTCAAAACTCTGCAGGACCTTCAATCTGGCATTATATGCTGCCATGTCCGTTTCCAGTTGAATTAGTTTTCTCCATCCTAACATTCGGTTGATCTTTCTGTTCCAGTTGAGCATTCTGTGTCCTGTAGTGATGCTTGGCGAGTAGAGCTGCTCTCTGCCTCAGCTTTCAGGCGTGCAGAGGACACTGAGGAGCCAGTAGAGCTGCTCTCTGCCTCAGCTTTCAGGCGTGCAGAGGACACTGAGGATGATGCACCTTTTTAGAATACTTTGTTTTACTTGATCTTTTTGACACATTGGAAACGCTGTCATGTGGTTCAATGAGAGGTTTTTTTTTTGCTCCACTTGAGCATTTTTCCACCCGTCCACCCCTTTCAGGAAATGTTCTTAAGTGCTCATTTTCAGTTGATAATAGTTCATGCTCTCATGTTCCTTTTCCTCCTCTGGACAGCTCTAGCACAGATTCATAAGTATTCTTAAAGTAATTGAGAACAAGAAAATGCTTCAAGACCCTCATTCAGTTTCAACATTTCCTCCATCAACAAGAAGGGCTTTCATTTCATTCATTTTGCGTGTACACACTCCCCAGGTTTACCTCTCCGGGCTGCGTAGAGTGAAATGAAATGCTCCTCTGCCCCTTCCAGTGGGGTCTTATGAGGGATTTAATCCACCGTCATTCACTTTTTAATTCACTCAATTTACAATGAGACACATTTGATTGTTGAAGGTACTTTAGAGCTCCTTGTAATGCTTTAAAACAGTGTTCTGTTTCAGCATATTGACCAGATTATTGATATATTGTGAATCATATTGTTTCACATTGAACATGTTTGGCATTTTAGATGCGATAAACATTTCATCACATTATAGGTTTTGTCCCCTTTAAACACAATTTCTTTAGATACTTTAGTTGCGTTCCATTAATTAATTTAATGTCTAAGTTATCCCCACTATTAGACACTCTAATACACACACACACACACACACACACACACACACACACACACGTTCTGTTCCCAAGTTTATCAAACATTCTAATTATAAGCACATTTGCGCTTCCATAATATAGTTGAACAAACGATTGCATTGAACAGGGCAGCTCATTCATTAATTCCCAGTGGTTACTCATGGCTGGCAAATTCTTAGGAGTTAAAATCCTTCCAAGCAAGCGGTCCAAATGCAATGGTAAATAGAACGGTATCCATCGTGTATCCACGGCGGAGCATTTCTTCCAAAAGTGATCCTTCCTTCCAATAGTGATCCTTCCTTCCAATAGTGATCCTTCCTTCCAATAGTGATCCTTCCTTCCAATAGTGATCCTTCCTTCCAATAGTGATCCTTCCTTCCAATAGTGATCCTAATGGAGTCTTTTGACTTGATTGTAGTGACTTCCTTACTATTTGACCAGAGCCACTGTCCAAGCCTGAAGCGGGGTTGTTTCGGACGCATACAGTCCACATTAAAAGTTCCCAAACGGCAAAAAGCACTCCAGGGATCCAGGGATCCAGGGAGATCCAGGGATCCAGGGGGATCCAGGGAGATCCAGGGATCCAGGGAGATCCAGGGATCCAGGGAGATCCAGGGATATGGTGCAACAAAAATAGGATCTAACAAAAAGCATTTTCTGATCAACTTAAAGCCTGGATGAAGGATCTAAATGAAAAGACATGATATGGTCAAAGGACTTTACAGCTCCCGCATCTAACCGGCTCTAATACACACACACACACACACACACACACACACACACACACACACACAGCAACACACACACACACAGCAACACACACACACACACACAGCAACACACACACACACACACACACACACACTCTGATGTACCAATCAAAAGGCTTCTCTCCCCAGTGTCCTGCAGGCCATCAGGAAGACCATCTGTGATTGGGAGACTGGGCGTGAGCCCCACAATGACCCCGCCCTGCGAGGAGAGAAAGACCCCAAGGGAGGCTTTGACATCAAGGTTCCCCGCCGCGCCGTGGGCCCCTCCAGCACACAGGTCTGAGCCCCCTCTCTCACCCACTCTCTCCCCTTAATCTACTTTTCTCACATCAACATGTCCTGTAAAGCACCCCATACGTACCCTCCTATCTCACCCCATACGTACCCTCCTTATCTCACCCCATACGTACCCTCCTTATCTCACCCCATACGTACCCTCCTTATCTCACCCCATACGTACCCTCCTTATCTCACCCCATACGTACCCTCCTATCTCACCCCATACTACCCTCCTTATCTCACCCCATACGTACCCTCCTTATCTCACCCCATACGTACCCTCCTTATCTCACCCCATACGTACCCCTCCTTATCTCACCCCATAACGTACCCTCCTTATCTCACCCATAGTACCCTCCTTATCTCACCCCATACGTACCCTCCTTATCTCACCCCATACGTACCCTCCTTATCTCACCCCATAACGTTACCCTCCTTATCTCACCCCATACGTCCCTCCTTATCTCACCCCATACGTTACCCTCCTTATCTCACCCCATACGTACCCTCCTTATCTCACCCCATACGTACCCTCCTTATCTCACCCCATACGTACCCTCCTTATCTCACCCCCATACGTACCCTCCTTATCTCACCCCATACGTACCCTCCTTATCACCCCATACGTACCCTCCTTATCTCACCCCATACGTACCCTCCTTATCTCACCCCATAACGTACCTCCTTATCTCACCCCATACGTACCCTCCTTATCTCACCCCATACGTACCCGCCTTATCTCACCCCATACGTACCCTCCTTATCTCACCCCATACGTACCCTCCTTATCTCACCCCATACGTACCCTCCTTATCTCACCCCATACGTACCCTCCTTATCTCACCCCATACGTACCCTCCTTATCTCACCCCATACGTACCCTCCTTATCTCACCCCATACGTACCCTCATTTCCCCAGATCTCAGACTGCTCTAAGCTGGCTGAAATAGAATCAGCTGTAACGTGGCATTAGTTTTCTATATCACCGAGATCATAATATACTTTCACTGTGGATCTGCTATGTCATATAAACTAGAGCACTGAGTCGTCCCGTCGTCCTGGAATACATCACTAATCTGTCTTCCAGAGAGAGAGCTCTATGCATCTTGTCTTCCAGAGAGAGAGCTCTATGCATCTTGTCTTCCAGAGAGAGAGCTCTATGCATCTTGTGTTGATCCAGCCCGAAGCCATGTTGTGTTTCTCACCACACTACTAAGCAGTAAAAATCTGACTCAAAGGAGAATAACCTTTGCTTCATCAGAGAGTGACAGGCCTCGAGGCAGCCGACCTGCCACTGGCCCGTTTATTAGGTACACAAAAATGGTTCACTCCTACAGACAGTGAGTCACGTGGCCGTGGCTTGCTATATAAAGCAGGCAGACCGGCATCGAGGCATTCAGTTACTGTTCGATTGAAGGTTAGAATGGGCAAAAGGAGTGACCTAAGCGGCTGTTGCAGCAGACGACCACACCGGGTTCCACTCCTGTCAGATAAAAACTAGAAGAAGTGGCTCCAGTGGGCACGGTATCTCCAACACTGGACAACTGAGGAGTGGAAAAACATTGACTGCTCCGGCGAATCCCGGTTCTTGTAGCGTAATGCTGATGGCAGAGTCAGGATCTGGCGTAAGCAGCATGAGTCCATGGCCCCATCCTGCCTGGTGTCAACGGTACAGGCTGGTGGCGGTGGTGTAATGGTGTGGGGAATGTTTCCTGGTACACGTTAGGTCCCTTGATACCAATTGAGCAACGTTTCCATGCTCTGAAAAATTCAGGCTGTTCTGGAGACAAAGGGGGCTCCGACCCGGTACTAGATGGGTGTACCTAATAAACTGGCCACTGAGTATATTAAACAGAACATTTTTTGGGAATACCAACCAAAAGTCAGTCAAATAATTTTTTCCTCTTCTCTATCCTCCTCTTCTTCTATCCTCTGCTTCCTCTCCTCCATCCTCCTCCTCTTCCTCTCCTCTATCCTCCTCTTCCTCTCCTCTATCCTCCTCTTCCTCTACTCTATCCTCCTCCTCTTCCTCTACCTCTATCCTCCTCCTCTTCCTCTCCTCTATCCTCCTCCTCTTCCTCTCCTCTATCCTCCTCCTCTTCCTCTCCTCTATCCTCCTCCTCTTCCTCTCCTCTATCCTCCTCCTCTTCCTCCCCTCTATCCTCCTCTTCCTCTCCTCTATCCTCCTCCTCTTCTTCTATCCTCCTCCTCTTCCTCTCCTCTATCCTCCTCCTCTTCCTCTACTCTATCCTCCTCCTCTTCCTCTTCTCTATCCTCCTCTTCCTCTGTAGCTGTATATGGTTCGTACCATGCTGGAGTCTCTGATAGCTGATAAGAGTGGTTCTAAGAAGACTCTCCGCAGCAGTCTGGAGGGACCCACCATCATTGACATGGAGAAGTTCCACAGAGAATCCTTCTTCTATACACACCTGCTGAACTTCAGCGGTAAGGAGTTTACAGAACCATCCTGCTCTGTCTGTCCCCCCTAACAGAGACCCTGCAGCAGTGCTGTGACCTGTCTGTTCCCCTGTTCCCTCTTTAACCCTAACCATCTGTCCCCCCTAACAGAGACCCTGCAGCAGTGCTGTGACCTGTCTGTTCCCCTGTTCCCTCTTTAACCCTAACCATCTGTCCCCCCCTAACAGAGACCCTGCAGCAGTGCTGTGACCTGTCTGTTCCCCTGTTCCCTCTTTAACCCTAACCATCTGTCCCCCCTAACAGAGACCCTGCAGCAGTGCTGTGACCTGTCTGTTCCCCTGTTCCCTCTTTAACCCTAACCATCTGTCCCCCCTAACAGAGACCCTGCAGCAGTGCTGCGACCTGTCTCAGCTGTGGTTTAGAGAGTTCTTCCTGGAGCTGACCATGGGTCGCAGGATCCAGTTCCCCATCGAGATGTCCATGCCCTGGATCCTCACAGACCACATACTGGAGACCAAGGAGGCCTCTATGATGGAGTAAGGAAGTCACAGTGACACACACAGTAGTGGATATAGAGCTAACGAACCAGCCAACTTCCATCCAGATCCAGTCTTATGAAGTCTCTGTCCTGTCCTGTCCTCCAGGTATGTGCTGTACCCTCTGGACCTCTATAATGACAGCGCTCACTATGCCCTCACCAAGTTCAAGAAGCAGTTCCTCTACGATGAGATTGAAGCAGAGGTATGTAGGTCACCATTAGACTGGTAGGTCACCATTAGACTGGTAGGTCACCATTAGACTAGTAGGTCACCATTAGACTGGTCACCACTACAGCAGAGGTATGTAGGTCACCATTAGACTGGTAGGTCACCATTAGACTGGTCATCACTACAGCAGAGGTATGTAGGTCACCATTAGACTGGTCACCACTACAGCAGAGGTATGTAGGTCACCATTAGACTGGTCATCACTACAGCAGAGGTATGTAGGTCACCATTAGACTGGTCATCACTGCAGCAGAGGTATGTAGGTCACCATTAGACTAGTAGGTCACCATTAGACTGGTCATCACTAACAGCAGAGGTATGTAGGTCACCAATTAGACTAGTAGGTCACCATTAGACTGGTCATCACTACAGCAGAGTATGTAGGTCACCATTAGACTGGTCATCACTACAGCAGAGGTATGTAGGTCACCATTAGACTAGTAGGTCACCATTAGACTGGTCCATCACTAAAGCAGAGGTATGTAGGTTCACCATTAGACTGGTCATCACTACAGCAGAGGTATGTAGGTCACCATTAGACTGGTCATTCACTGCAGCAGAGGTATGTAGGTCACCATTAGACCTGGTAGGTCCACCATTAGACTGGTCATCACTACAGCAGAGGTATGTAGGTTCACCATTAGACTGGTAGGTCACCATTAGACTGGTCATCACTACAGCAGAGGTATGTAGGTCACCATTAGACTGGTCATCACTACAGCAGAGGTATGTAGGTCACCATTAGACTGGTCATCACTGCAGCAGAGGTATGTAGGTCACCATTAGACTAGTAGGTCACCATTAGACTGGTCATCACTACAGCAGAGGTATGTGGTCACCATTAGAGGTCATCACTAAGCAAGGATGTAGGTCACCATTAGACTGGTCATCACTACAGCAGAGGTATGTAGGTCACCATTAGACTGGTCACACTACAGCAGAGGTATATAGGTCACCATTAGACTGTAGGTCACCATTAGACTGGTCATCACTACAGCAGAGGTATGTAGGTCACCATTAGACTAGTAGGTCACCATTAGACTGGTCATCACTACAGCAGAGGTATGTAGGTCACCATTAGACTGGTCATCACTACAGCAGAGGTATGTAGGTCACCATTAGACTAGTAGGTCACCATTAGACTGGTCATCACTACAGCAGAGGTATGTAGGTCACCATTAGACGTGGTCCCCAAAACTCTACAGCAGAGGTATGTAGGTCACCATTAGACTAGTCACCATTAGACTGGTCACCACTACAGCAGAGGTATGTAGGTCACCATTAGACTAGTCATCACTACAGCAGAGGTATGTAGGTCACCATTAGACTAGTAGGTCACCATTAGACTGGTCATCACTGCAGCAGAGGTATGTAGGTCACCATTAGACTGGTCATCACTACAGCAGAGGTATGTAGGTCACCATTAGACTGGTCATCACTACAGCAGAGGTATGTAGGTCACCATTAGACTGGTAGGTCACCATTAGACTGGTAGGTCACCATTAGACTAGTAGGTCACCAATAGACTGGTCACCACTACAGCAGAGGTATGTAGGTCACCATTAGACTAGTAGGTCACCATTAGACTGGTCATCACTACAGCAGAGGTATGTAGGTCACCATTAGACTGGTCATCACTACAGCAGAGGTATGTAGGTCACCATTAGACTGGTCATCACTACAGCAGAGGTATGTAGGTCACCATTAGACTGGTCATCACTACAGCAGAGGTATGTAGGTCACCATTAGACTGGTCATCACTACAGCAGAGGTATGTAGGTCACCATTAGACTGGTAGGTCACCATTAGACTGGTAGGTCACCATTAGACTGGTCATCACTGCAGCAGAGGTATGTAGGTCACCATTAGACTAGTAGGTCACCATTAGACTGGTCATCACTACAGCAGAGGTATGTAGGGCACCATTAGACTAGTAGGTCACCATTAGACTGGTCATCACTACAGCAGAGGTATGTAGGTCACCATTAGACTGGTCATCACTACAGCAGAGGTATGTAGGTCACCATTAGACTGGTAGGTCACCATTAGACTGGTCATCACTACAGCAGAGGTATGTAGGTCACCATTAGACTGGTAGGTCACCATTAGACTGGTTATCACGACAGCAGAGGTATGTAGGTCACCATTAGACTGGTAGGTCACCATTAGACTGGTAGGTCACCATTAGACTGGTCATCACTACAGCAGAGGTATGTAGGTCACCATTAGACTAGTAGGTCACCATTAGACTGGTCATCACTACAGCAGAGGTATGTAGGTCACCATTAGACTGGTAGGTCACCATTAGACTGGTAGGTCACCATTAGACTGGTCATCACTACAGCAGAGGTATGTAGGTCACCATTAGACTAGTAGGTCACCATTAGACTGGTCATCACTACAGCAGAGGTATGTAGGTCACCATTAGACTAGTAGGTCACCATTAGACTGGTCATCACTACAGCAGAGGTATGTAGGTCACCATTAGACTAGTAGGTCACCATTAGACTGGTCATCACTACAGCAGAGGTATGTAGGTCACCATTAGACTGGTCATCACTACAGCAGAGGTATGTAGGTCACCATTAGACTGGTCATCACTACAGCAGAGGTATGTAGGTCACCATTAGACTGGTAGGTCACCATTAGACTGGTCATCACTACAGCAGAGGTATGTAGGTCACCATTAGACTGGTCATCACTGCAGCAGAGGTATGTAGGTCACCATTAGACTAGTCACCATTAGACTGGTAGGTCACCATTAGACTAGTCACCACTGTGTCCCTGGGTATACTTGTATTATTCTTTATGATTGTTAGACATTGTGATTATTATTGATATTGTACTGCCTTGAGGGAGCTTGCCAGTCAGCATGTCCTCCAACTTTTATACCTGCTGTACGTGACTAATAACATTAGATTTTGATTTGAATGGTGGCCGTGCATGAGGCTGTATTTCCAATCCCTAACCTACATTACACCCTCTTACTGCAGGTCAACCTGTGTTTTGATCAGTTTGTCTACAAGCTGGCTGATCAGATATTTGCCTACTACAAGATTCTAGCTGGAAGGTATGTTAAAGTTTTGAATCAATACTGTTCAATAACTGAAAATACGGGGGCCGCTAGGTGCACAATGTGCGACTGACGTGTTTTCCGTTTGCTCCCGCAGTATTCTTAACGTTTATGTGAATTTTGCAATAAAACTTTATTTATTTTCAAATATTAGTTTGGTGATCCCTTTCTGTAGTACGCAAGACTACTTTGCTTTCAAATGTCAGCATGTCACGAAACATAAAGCCAAGATCAGGACTGAGAAAACCCGGCCTACAAGACCCAGGTTTCATCACCGCCCTCTGCTGAGCCTGAAAGCCCGGAGACTCGCGCTTTGCATCACTCAAAACAACAACAGAGTTGCACACCATGACCTCTGCTACCAGTGTCTCCGACCTGACTACCTCTGGAGGCTGACGTGAAATGCCTAAAGGAGAGGGATTTTCTCGCCGCACCCAGAGTCAGCGCAAATGCCTCGAGCCACGGATTTAGTCTCTGGGCTGCTGAAGGATGTTCTCGCCATGGATGAGAAGACCTTGATTGATCGTGCCCACCGGTCGCTGCGCCCAAAGCCCCGAGACTGTGAGAGGCCCCGTGACATCATTCTTCGAGTGCACTTTTTCCATGAGAAGATGGAGATTCTCTGATCCCGCAATACCACTCTGAGCTTTCAAGGACAGAGTTTTTCTATCTACCAGGACTACTCCCCCACTGTGTCCAGGCAGCGCGCAGCCAAACGACTACTATGGGACCATCCAGGTGTGAAGTACGGACTGCGATTCCCGGCCCGCCTGTGGCTTTCTCATGATAGAAAATACTACACCTTTGACTCTCCGGAGGAGGCTGTGGCTCACATTCAACACCACATCAAGAAGTCTTGAACTTGTTAATAGATCAGTAACTGTGGCTTGCCAACTTTGGATAGGAAGTAAGAAGCCTACCTGTGCTACAACTGTGCTATTTCTGTATAGTTCAGAAGTAGGCGAACCCACTCAGGGTTATTTGAAGTAGGCGAACCCACTCAGGGTTATTTGAAGTAGGGGAACCAACTCAGGCTTATTTGAAGTAGGCGAACCAACTCAGGCTTATTTGAAGTAGGCGAACCAACTCAGGCTTATTTGAAGTAGGCTAACCCACTCAGGCTTATTTTATGTGATCGAATGTTTTTGTGATCATCTAGATTCGTTGCCTTATAAGCATTCAGTCGCTTTTTATTATATTTTATTAAGGGTTTACGTAATTCCTTTGTTTACATACACTGACCTATTGAGTTAGTTTACATACTGTCTCACTGACTTATTGAGTTAGTTTACATACTGTCTCACTGACTTATTGAGTTAGTTTACATACTGTCTCACTGACTTATTGAGTTAGTTTACATACTGTCTCATTGACCTATTGAGTTAGTTTACATACTGTCTCACTGACTATTGAGTTAGTTTACATACTGTCTCACTGACCTATTGAGTTAGTTTACTACTGTCTCACTGACTATTGAGTTAGTTTACATAACTGTCTCCACTGACCTATTGAGTTAGTTTACATACTGTCTCACTGACTATTGGTTAGTTTACATACTGTCCACTGACTTATTGAGTTAGTTTACATACTGTCTCACTGACCTATTGAGTTAGTTGTACATACTGTCTCACTGACTTATTGAGTTAGTTTACATACTGTCTCACTGACCTATTGAGTTAGTTTACAATACTGTCTCAACTGACTTATTGAGTTAGTTTACATACTGTCTCACTGACTTATTGAGTTAGTTTACAATACTGTCTCACTGACTTATTGAGTTAGTTTACATACTGTCTCACTGACTATTGAGTTAGTTTACATACTGTCTCACTGACTTATTGAGTTAGTTTACATACTGTCTCACTGACTATTGAGTTAGTTTACATACTGTCTCACTGACTATTGAGTTAGTTTACATACTGTCTCACTGACTTATTGATTAGTTTACATACGTTCTGACTTATGAGTAGTTACATACTGTCTCACTGACTTATTGAGTTAGTTTACATACTGTCTCACTGACTTATTGAGTTAGTTTACATACTGTCTCACTGACTTATTGAGTTAGTTTACATACTGTCTCAACTTGGTAGTTTCTGTCTCACTGACTTTGAGTTAGTTTACATACTGTCTCACTGACTTATTGAGTTAGTTTACATACTGTCTCACTGACTTATGAGACTACTCTGAGTTAGTTTTTACATACTGTCTCACTGACTTATTGAGTTAGTTTACATACTGTCTCACTGACTTATTGAGTTAGTTTACATACTGTCTCACTGACTTATTGAGTTAGTTTACATACTGTCTCACTGACTTATTGAGTTAGTTTACATACTGTCTCACTGACTTATTGAGTTAGTTTACATACTGTCTCACTGACTTATTGAGTTAGTTTACATACTGTCCTCACTGACTTATTGAGTTAGTTTACATACTGTCTCACTGACTTATTGAGTTAGTTTACATACTGTCTCACTGACTTATTGAGTTAGTTTACATACTGTCTCACTGACTTATTGAGTTAGTTTACATACTGTCTCACTGACTTATTGAGTTAGTTTACATACTGTCTCACTGACTTATTGAGTTAGTTTACATACTGTCTCACTGACCTATTGAGTTAGTTTACATACTGTCTCACTGACCTATTGAGTTAGTTTACATACTGTCTCACTGACTTATTGAGTTAGTTTACATACTGTCTCACTGACTTATTGAGTTAGTTTACATACTGTCTCACTGACTTATTGAGTTAGTTTACATACTGTCTCACTGACTTATTGAGTTAGTTTACATACTGTCTCACTGACCTATTGAGTTAGTTTACATACTGTCTCACTGACTTATTGAGTTAGTTTACATACTGTCTCACTGACCTATTGAGTTTAGTTTACATACTGTCCTCACTGACTTATTGAGTTAGTTTACATACTGGTCTCACTGACTTATTGAGTTTAGTTACATACTGTCTCACTGACCTATTGAGTTAGTTTACTACTGTCTCACTGACTTATTGAGTTAGTTTACATACTGTCCTCACTGACTTATGAGTTAGTTTACATCTGTCTCACTGACCATTGAGTTAGTTTACATACTGACTATTGAGTTAGTTTACATACTGTCCTCAACTGACCTATTGAGTTAGTTTACATACTGGTCCTCACTGACCTATTGAGTTAGTTTACATACTGTCTCTGACCTTATTGGAGTTAGTTTACATACTGTCCCTGACGACTATTGAGTTAGTTTAATACTGTCTCATGACCTATTGAGTTAGTTTACATACTGTCTCACTGGACCTATTGAGTAGTTTTACCTGGCTCATTGACCTATGGAGTTCGTTTACATACTGCTCCTCTTATTGACCTATTTGAGTTAGTTTACATACTTTCTCATCTGACTATTGAGTTAGTTGACATACTGTATCCATGACTTATTGAGTTAGTTTACATACTGTCTCATTGACTTATTGAGTTAGTTTACATACTGTCTCATTGACCTATTGAGTTAGTTTACATACTGTCTCACTGACCTATTGAGTTAGTTTACATACTGTCTCACTGACTTATTGAGTTTAGTTTACATACTGTCTCACTGACCTATTGAGTTAGTTTACATACTGTCTCACTGACTTCTTGAGTGAGTTTACATACTGTCCTCACGACCTATTGAGTTAGTTTACATACTGTCTCACTGACCTATTGAGTTAGTTTACATACTGTCCTCACTGACTTATTGAGTTAGTTTACATACTGTCTCACTGACTTATGAGTTAGTTTACATACTGTCTCACTGACCTTATTGAGTTAGTTTACATACTGTCTCACTGACCTATTGAGTTAGTTTACATACTGTCTCACTGACTATTGAGTTAGTTTACCATACTGTCTCACTGACTTATTGAGTTAGTTTACATACTGTCTCATTGACCTATTGAGTTAGTTTACATACTGTCTCACGACCTATTGAGTTAGTTTACATACTGTCTCATTGACCTATTGAGTTAGTTTACATACTGTCTCACTGACCTATTGAGTTAGTTTACATACTGTCTCACTGACTTATTGAGTTAGTTTACATACTGTCTCACTGACCTATTGAGTTAGTTTACATACTGTCTCACTGACCTATTGAGTTAGTTTACATACTGTCTCACTGACCTATTGAGTTAGTTTACATACTGTCTCACTGACTTATTGAGTTAGTTTACATACTGTCTCACTGACCTATTGAGTTAGTTTACATACTGTCTCACTGACTTATTGAGTTAGTTTACATACTGTCTCACTGACTTATTGAGTTAGTTTACATACTGTCTCACTGACCTATTGAGTTAGTTTACATACTGTCTCATTGACTTATTGAGTTAGTTTACATACTGTCTCATTGACTTATTGAGTTAGTTTACATACTGTCTCATTGACTTATTGAGTTAGTTTACATACTGTCTCACTGACCTATTGACTCCATTCCGGTCTTACTTTGAACAGTCCACCCTCTGATGGCATTCTTATTAAAACAAAAATACAGCTGTATTTGACACCCGTGTGATTTACTGATTGGAGGAGCATTTCTTTTTTTGTATTTTTTTTGGGGGAGGACATTGAGATTGGTGATGTGCCCATTTGATTCTTAATGAATGTGACTTGTAGATGCCTTATTCCGCTTGCCCTGTCAGAGCCTAAAATGTGATCTTATTTTGCTCTGTTTGAATGTGTGAGTAGTTGAGTTTCTCCACCCCTATCCCTCAGCTGTTTACAGGACATTACCCTTTAACCTTTGTACCCTTCTGCCCAGCGGGTTTAACTTGTCTAAAGTATCTTTATAGTTGTCTTATTGTTTTTTATAGTTTTGTTTGAGTGTCTTTCTTTATATTGTGTTGAATCGTGTGTAATGTAAAACTGAATAAACAGAGAGATATATATATATATATATATAATATAATATAATATATATAATATATATAATATACTGTGTTGCTCTTCTCTTTCTCCCCAGTCTGCTCCTGGATAAGCGTCTGAGAGCGGACTGTAAGAACCAGGGAGCCAACATCCCCTGGCCCGCATCCAACCGCTACGAGACCCTGTTGAAACAACGCCACGTTCAGGTAACCCACTAACCCCTGGCCTGCGTCCAACCGCTATGAGACCCTGTTGAAACAACGCCACGTCCAGATCACCCCTAACCTCTGACCCGTAACCATCCAACTGCTACGAGACTCTGCTAAAACAACGCCACGTCCAGATCACCCCTAACCTCTGACCCGTAACCATCCAACCGCTACGAGACTCTGCTAAAACAACGCCACGTTCAGGTAACCCACTAACCCCTGGCCTGCGTCCAACCGCTATGAGACCCTGTTGAAACAACGCCACGTCCAGATCACCCCTAACCTCTGACCCGTAACCATCCAACTGCTACGAGACTCTGCTAAAACAACGCCACGTCCAGATCACCCCTAACCTCTGACCCGTAACCATCCAACCGCTACGAGACTCTGCTAAAACAACGCCACGTCCAGATCACCCCTAACCTCTGACCCCTAACCCTCCAACTGCTACGAGACTCTGCTAAAACAACGCCACGTCCAGATCACCCCTAACCTCTGACCCCTAACCCTCCAACTAGAGGTATTCATGGTCCGAGTGGGTCCGGGTCCTAAATTCTGATTTTTGTATTGGATCTGTATGGTGGTCCTCTGGTCCTCTGTAGCTCAGCTGGTAGAGCACGGCGCTGGTAACGCCAGGGTAGTGGGTTCGATCCCCGGGACCACCCATACACTAAAATGTATGCACGCATGACTGTAAGTCTCTTTGGATAAAAGTGTCTGCTACATTTACATTTACATTTACGTCATTTAGCAGACGCTCTTATCCAGAGCGACTTACAAACTAAATGGCATATTATTATTATTATTATTATTATTATTATTATCTGGGTTGGGTCTGATATAATTGACACGGGTCTTGGGTATGTGCAATTAAAGTTGATTTACCGAATGGACCCCTCCTCTGTTAATGTGTGAGGTGATGAGAACTGTGTCAGCCAATTACAACTCAATGAAACGTATAGCTTATGTCCAGCTGAAACTGGTTCTGGTCACTCGCCTCACGTGCGCCTGCTTCTGAGGAGAGAGCGGGAGTGAAAGGAGGCTTGGCCTGGGCTACTGTTGATTGCGAAGATGGAGACCTTTTTTCATTTAAGTGAAACTAAAGTTCGAGGAGAACGAGTGAAAAGAAGCCGGCAAGTTTTAAAGGGATAATCCATCCCAAACCACTAATTCCTATGCTTAACAGTGTTAAATAAAACAAATATGTGAAAATATATTTTTTGAACAAACATTTCATATTGTCATATAACAAGGTTGGTAGAAACGTGGAAATCTGTTGCAGCTCAAGTCTACTACAAAACCCACAATGCAATGCGCACTCTCTGGGCTGTCTGGCTGGCTAGCTAGCTAGAAAACATAGCTACACACAATAATACCAGAGTCAATATCAGCATGTGAAGTAGCTAGTTAGCTGTAAAATCACATAAACAAACTGCACTATCAGTTTAGGAGTCTTACTCACGGAGTTCAACTTGCAGTTCGTCTCTGCCACTGAGCTATAAATGGCATCTCTGCCCAGAGCGAGACCAGAGTTTATAACTAAACCAAGATAGACCACAACCTGTCGTTTCAAATGGTAACAAATGAGTCATAGTGGGCAAAACAAGCAAGGAGGTGGGCGGAGCCAAGCACCAGCTAGAGAGATCCTATTGGTGTGTTCTAGCAAACATTAGCATATTTCCGTTAGGGAACGCCTACTCTGTGAAGTGCACATGTGCAATAACTCAATTCGCCTTTGCACTCCTTCAAAGCAATTTTTTGAGACTTTGGCAAATGGTAAAGTGTAAAACACAGACCACTCTGTTCGTAACAGATTCTAGATTTGGGAACAGAACACTGGATTGAGGTCAAATGTTACATCGATGAGAAAATTAGCAGAATGTCGGCCAAAATTCTTCTCCCCACTTCCGGCCACTGGGCTTCCTCTCACTGCTATATTTGGTAGCGACTGCTTCACATTTACACATCAGGTGGAATATCTGTCTCCATTAGAATCGTATTTGGATTTATTAGGGATCCCCATTACTCTTCCTGGGGTCCAAACATATTAAAGCACTTACATTACATAGAAAACAAAATATAAAACAGTACATCATATAACATTATTACACCACTACATATCTACAATACAACATGTTTAATACCACCATACAACAATATTACAATGTACGTGCGTGTGCTAGCGCTTGTGTGCGCATGCGTGTCTACCTTTGCGAGTGTACATATTAACACCCTTTTGTGTACGTTGCCCATAAGTCGTCAATGGGCCGTGCGGTGCATTCTGGGTGATTCTGGGACAAGGAGAGCTCTCCTTCAAGGAGTGAATGGGAGTCTATTGGGCGCTAGCTAAAAAAACTGAACATTAGCATGAATTTCGTAAACAATAAGTACAACATTGCAGATATTTTCCAAGATGTGAGATAAATAACTTTTTTTCTGTAATATCGCATCGCTTTGGAATCGTGACATTACGTACTTTAGAGGAAAATAGGCATGTTTCTCAACTTGTACCCTGACATTGAGAAGGGATTGAGTGACGATTGGCTCAGCAACCGCGTGACGCAGCATGACGACGTGAATGCGATTGATCGACAGTCAGTAGGGTGGGCCGTTTCTCCATTCATTGCCCAATGGGATTCCTATCTCCTCCTTTCTGTAATATCTCCGTTTCCCACAGGGTGCATTGAAGGAGAAACGGAGGTGAATAATTTGGTACACTGTTTAGATTAGGCACATCTAAGTGAAATATATACTTTGTCCTGACTATATAGAGGGATGGATGTGTTCTAGACAGGTATGCCCTCTATTGGCTGACGTGGTGATCAGGAGCAGGTCATTGTTGTGATAGTGTGTTATCTCCAGTGACGAGAATTATGTCGCTATGACGCGTTCCTGATTTTCACAGACGGACCACTTAGAAGTTAAATCATGGGGAAATGTTTTATTTTACCCACTGATAGAACATAGACTTTCACCAAATTGACAGGAGTTTCATGATTTATATTTCTGAGGGTGGATTATCCCTTAGACAAAGATGAGAACATTTTTGTTGGCTAAATTAAGTTCGAACTGTCTTTTTAAATGTTTTGCTCCGTATTTAGTTTCAGATGGTTTGAAGGCAGGCCTATTTTTATTTAAAAAATGAATATAAAGAAAGAGAAGCTTAGCCCCAGAGAGAGCGAGAAAGATAAGAGATATGCCCGAGCAATGTTCATGCATTCTTTATACTTATCTGATAAGCTGTGTCTGCTATATCTTATCTGATAAGCTGTCTGCTATATCTTATATGATAAGCTGCATCTGCTATATCTTATCAGATAAGGTGTGTCTGCTATATCTTATCTGATAAGCTGTGTCTGCTATATCTTATCTGATAAGCTGTCTGCTATATCTTATCTGATAAGCTGTGTCTGCTATATCTTATCAGATAAGCTGTGTCTGCTATATCTTATCTGATAAGCTGTCTGCTATATCTTATATGATAAGCTGCATCTGCTATATCTTATCAGATAAGGTGTGTCTGCTATATCTTATCTGATAAGCTGTGTCTGCTATATCTTATCAGATAAGCTGTGTCTGCTATATCTTATCTGAAAAGCTGTCTGCTATAACTTATCTGATAAGCTGTCTGCTATATCTTATCTGATAAGCTGTGTCTGCTATATCTTATCTGATAAGCTGTCTGCTATATCTTATCTGATAAGCTGTGTCTGCTATATCTTATCAGATAAGCTGTGTCTGCTATATCTTATCAGATAAGCTGTGTCTGCTATATCTTATCTGATAAGCTGTGTCTGCTCTATCTTATCTGATAAGCTGTGTCTGCTATATCTTATCTGATAAGCTGTGTCTGCTATATCTTATCTGATAAGCTGTCTGCTATATCTTATCTGATAAGCTGTGTCTGCTATATCTTATCAGATAAGCTGTGTCTGCTATATCTTATCAGATAAGCTGTGTCTGCTATATCTTATCTGATAAGCTGTGTCTGCTATATCTTATCTGATAAGCTGTCTGCTATATCTTATCAGATAAGCTGTGTCTGCTATATCTTATCTGATAAGTTGTCTGCTATATCTTATCTGATAAGCTGTCTGCTATATCTTATCTGATAAGTTGTCTGCTATATCTTATCTGATAAGCTATGTCTGCTATATCTTATCTGATAAGCTGTGTCTGCTATATCTTATCAGATAAGTATAAAGAATGCATGAACATTTACATTTACATTTTAGTCATTTAGCAGACGCTCTTATCCAGAGCGACTTACAGGAGCAATTAGGGTTAAGTGCCTTGCTCAAGGACACATCGACAGATTTTTCACCTAGTCGGCTCGGGGATTAGAACCAGCGACCTTTCGGTTACTGGCACAACGCTCTTAACCACTAAGCTACCTGCCGCCCCCATGGCTCGGGCATATCTCTTTATCTTTCTCGCTCTCTGGGGCTAAGCTTTTCTTTCTTTGTATTTATTTTTAAAAATATTAATGTCGTACAGTGAATGCCTAGGCCTATGCAGGCAATGCACTGACGCACTCAAATCTCTGACAGCTGAACCGTGAGGTGGACAATTATTGTTTTAGGAAAGTAAAAACCAATAAAACAATAGGCTATAAAGTTTTTAATATGCTACACATCGAAACACAACTAATAGTTGTTTTGTCATTTGTTATAGGCAGTTTTTAAGGACACGTAACTGGATCATTTGGTCAATATCGCTAGTTTTTTTGATGGCGCTGGCAGCGCCCAGTCGGAGGTTTCTTTCTCTCTCTTTCTACTCTCAGATCCGAGTCTGTTTTTCCACGGGCCTTTTCGGAACGGGTCTCTGTTTTTTAAAAATGTGTTTATGCATATCTGGTGGGGTGGGAAAGACACGGATCCGTTTCAGAACGAGTCCAACTTTATGGACCTGTGAAGAGCACTACCTTTAATGCCACGTCCAGTTAACCCCCTAACCTCTGACCACTAACCCTCCACCCACTACAAGACCCTGCTGAAACAACGACACGTCCAGGTAACAGCAGCTAACCTAACCCCTATGATAGCCTGGTCCCAACCTGGTCCCAACCCGGTCCCAACCCGGTCCCAACCCGGTCCCAACCCGGTCCCAACCCGGTCCCAACCTGGTCCCAACCTGGTCCCAACCTGGTCCCAACCTGGTCCCAACCTGGTCCCAACCCGGTCCCAACCTGGTCCCAACCTGGTCCCAACCTGGGACCAACCTGGGACCAAACTATGTCCACGGCACACTACTCCCCCCAATACTCCCCATCCGTCTTTACTGTCTGTCTGGGTTGTGTCTCTGTATCTCATGATGGTTCCTCTCCTGTCTCTAGCTGCTGGGTCGTTCCATAGACCTGAACCGTCTGATCACCCAGAGGGTGTCTGCTGCTCTCTACAAGTCTCTGGAGCTGGCCATCAACCGCTTCGAGAGTGAAGATCTCACCTCCATCGTGGTACGACCTGCTTTCAGTGTGTGACTGTCCTCTGTAACAGGAACTAGAAGGTCTGATGAACATCAACCGTATGACCCACAAGCTGTCTTCTCCCCCTCCTTGTAACAGGAACTAGAAGGTCTGATGAACATCAACCGTATGACCCACTAGCTGTCTTCTCCCCCTCCTTGTAACAGGAACTAGAAGGTCTGATGAACATCAACCGTATGACCCACTAGCTGTCTTCTCCCCCTCCTTGTAACAGGAACTAGAAGGTCTGATGAACATCAACCGTATGACCCACAAGCTGCTGTCTAAGTTCCTGACGCTGGACAGTATGGACGCCATGTTCCGGGAGGCCAATCACAACGTCTCCGCCCCCTACGGACGCATCACACTCCACGTCTTCTGGGAACTCAACTACGACTTCCTCCCCAACTACTGTTACAACGGATCTACTAACAGGTAACACAACTACACTCTACTACTACACACTACTACTACTGCTACTACTACTACTACTACTACTACTACTACTACTACTACTACTACTACTACTACTACTACTACTACTACTACTACTACTACTACTACACACTACTACTACTGCTACTACTGTAGCTCAGCTGGTAGAGCACGGCGCTTGTAACGCCAAGGTAGTGGGTTCGATCCCCGGGACCACCCATACACAAAAATGTATGCACGCATGACTGTAAGTCGCTTTGGATAAAAGCGTCTGCTAAATGGCATATTATTATTATTATTATTATTATTATTATTATATTATTATTATTACTACTACAACTACACACTACTACTGCTACTACTACTACACACTACTACTACTGCTACTACTACACACTACTACTACTACTACACTACACACTACTACTACTACTACTACTACTAACACATACGCTACTACTACTAACTACAGCACTACTACACTACTAGCACTAAACTACTAACTACACACTACTACTACTGCTCACTACATACACTACACACACACTTACTACTGCTACTACAAACTACTACAACTACACACACTACACACTGCTACTACTACACACTAACACTACTCTACTAAACTACACCACTACTACTACTGCATACATACACACACACTACTAACTACATGCTACTACGAACAACTAACACCATACTAACTTACTACAAACTACACACTACTCGCTACTACAAACTACACACTACTACTACTGCTATATTCCAACTACACACACTACTCTACACTCCACACACTAACTACTGCTACTACTACTGCTACTAATGCTACTACACTACTACACACTACTACTACTAACTGCACTACTACTACTACACTACTACTATACCATACTACTATACTACACTACACACTACTATACTGCTACTACTGCTACTACTAACTACACACTACTCTACTACAACTACACACTACTACTACGCTACTACTGCTACTACTACTACACACAACTATACACTCACTACAACTACTGCTACTACAACTACACACTACTACTACTGAACTACCTACTGCTACTACTACAACTACACACTACTACTACTGCTATTACAACTACACACTACTACTACTACAACACTACTACTACTACTACTACTGCTACTACAACTACACACTACTACTACGCTACTCTACTACACTACTACTAACACACTACTACTACTACTACTACTACACTACTACTACACTACTGCACTACTGACTACTACTACAACTACACACTACTACTACTGCTACTACTACTGCTACTACTACTACTACTACAACTACTACAACTACACACTACTACTACTGCTACTACTACTGCTACTACTACTACTGCTACTACAACTACACACTACTACTACTCTACTCTACTACTGCTACTACTACTACTACTACAACTACAACAACTACACACTACTACTACTGCTACTACAACTACACACTACTAAACTACTACAACTTACTACAACTACACACTACTACTACTGCTACTACTACTACTACTGCTACTACAACTACACATACTACTACTGCTACTACAACACACTACTAATACTACTACAAACTTCCTCTCTCTAGGTTTGTCCGCACGGTCCTGCCCTTCTCTCAGGAGTTCCAGAGGGACAAGCCGCCCAACGCCCAGCCCCAGTACCTGTACGGGTCAAAGGTCAGTACAACCCTAACTCCCAGCCCCAGTACCTGTACGGGTCAAAGGTCAGTACAACCCTAACTCTCAGCCCCAGTACCTGTACGGGTCAAAGGTCAGTACAACCCTAACTCTCAGCCCCAGTAACTATACGGGTCAAAGATCAGTACAACCCTGACCCGCAACTTTCAGCCCCAGTACCTGTACAGGTCAAAGGTCAGTACAACTCTAATCCCTGACCCCTTACCCCCAGTAAAACTACCTGTAGCCAAACTCTCTCTACCCTTATTATGTGTTTCAGCCAAACAGACGTAGTACATATCAAACATCTGGCATCTGGTTTCTGTTTATACAGAGAGAGCGATTATGCCTCAGAATACAAGAACATTGTCCAACATTAAGGTTCATCATTGGGTCTTTAATAACTGACAGACAGCCACTCACAATAAAATCAATAAATACAACATATTCAATCTAGAACATACGCAGGTAATGGAAGCAAAACGCATATACGGCTCAAAATATTTGCAATTTTAAAAGCAATTTTAGACCATGACAAATGAATAAGTTGTAATGTTTAGTCTTCAGTCATAGACATGGTGCAAGTGGGACCCCCTCCAAAATCTGTAAAAAATAAAGGTATTTCAGTAACAATTTCTCAGATGGTAGTCAGACATTTTTGGTTTGAATTTTGGTTACCTGACCTTCAGAGTCACTCTGCAGAACCTCAACCAGAACTAAACCTAAGTCGCTTTGGATAAAAGTGTCCGCTTGATGAAGATGATGATGATTATATTAACTGTGACCCCAGTCCTGTGCCTTTAGTCTGGGCAGTGTCCCAAATGGTACCCTATTGAGTCCCGGTCAATAGTGGTACTGTACATTACATAGGGAAGAGGCCCAGTGGTACTGTACATGACATAGGGAAGAGGCCCCCTACACAGGGAAGAGGCCCAGTGGTACTGTACATTACACAGGGAAGAGGCCCAGTGGTACTGTACATTACACAGGGAAGAGGCCCAGTGGTACTGTACATTACACAGGGAAGAGGCCCAGTGGTACTGTACATTACACAGGGAAGAGGCCCAGTGGTACTGTACATGACACAGGGAAGAGGCCCAAGTGGTTACTGTACATTTACCACAGGGAAGAGGCCCAGTGGTTACTGTACATTACACAGGGAAAGGGCCCAGTGGTACTGTACTTACACAGGGAAGGGGCCCCAGTGGTACTGTACATTACACAGGGAAAGCGGCCAGTGGTAATGTACATTCACAGGGACAGGAGGCCCAGTGTAAGTTACATACCAGGGAAGAGGCCCAGTGGTACTGTACATTACACAGGGAAAGAGGGCCCAGTGGTTAATGTCCATTACATAGGGAAAGAGGCCCAGTGGTTACGGTACATGACATTAGGGGAAGAGGCCCCCTACATAGGGAAGAGGCCCACTACATAGGGAAGAGGGCCCAGTGGTACTGTACATTACACAGGGAAGAGGCCCAGTGGTACTGTACATTACACAGGGAAGAGGCCCAGTGGTACTGTACACTACATAGGGAAGAGGCCCAGTGGTTACTGGTACATGACCATAGGGAAGAGGCCCCCTACATAGGGAAGAGGCCCCCTACATAGGGAAGAGGCCCAGTGGTACTGTACATGACATAGGGAAGAGGCCCCCTACATAGGGAAGAGGCCCCCTACATAGGGAAGAGGCCCCCTACATAGGGGAAGATGCCCCCCTTAGGCCAGTGGGTACTGTACATGACATAGGAAGAGGCCCCAGTGGTACTGTACCATTACATAGGGAAGAGGCCCCTCTATATAGGGAAGAGGCCCAGTGGTACTGTACATTACACAGGGAAGAGGCCCAGTGGTACTGTACATGACATAGGGAAGAGGCCCCCTACATAGGGAAGAGGCCCAGTGGTACTGTACATTACGTAGGGAAGAGGCCCAGTGGTACTGTACATTACATAGGGAAGAGGCCCCCTACATAGGGAAGAGGCCCCCTACACAGGGAAGAGGCCCCCTACACAGGGAAGAGGCCCCCTACATAGGGAAGAGGCCCCCTACACAGGGAAGAGGCCCCCTACACAGGGAAGAGGCCCCCTACACAGGGAAGAGGCCCCCTACACAGGGAAGAGGCCCCCTACACAGGGAAGAGGCCCCCTATTCCCTATATAGGCCCTGGTCAATAGTGGTGCACTATATAGAGCCCCACAGTGGAGGTGTCATAATCCCATAAAACCTAGCGGTCAAACAGGGAAATGGTTCCAATCGTTTTTCCACAATTTCTTCCCATAGGGGATTTTAGAAACACTTAAAATAAGGGCTGTGTTTCGTGTAGGTTTACCCTGGTGTGACGTTGTCTCTCGGACAAGATGACTTTTATCAATATATTCAGCTCTATTTACTCTGATTCAAAAATGTTAATCAACACCAAAGTAGACATCATGAAAAACTACAAATCCCTGCAAGCTCCTGCACATCATCTCTCTCAATTTAAAACATGCACAGTTCACAGAATTGTCAATTTAAAGAAATGTAGCCAGTTTATTCATTACTGAATTTAGCTAACATTAGATAGTTAATCCAGAGATTCTTACCTGTGCCTTGATTCGGCAGTCTTGTCCAGATCATCATGGTATTTGTAGTTCTTTACGATAGCCACATTAGCAGCTATTTAACATTTCATTATTAAATTTTTTTTTTTTTGGGGGGGGGTAAATACAGAAGAATATATTGATAAGTTAAGTGTTTCTAAAATCGTCTATGGGAAAAAGTAATGATGGAAAAAACGATTTGAACCATTTCCTTGTTTGACCACTAGGTTTCATGGGTATTATGACTCATGCTGTGGTACTCTATTGGGAATAGGATGTCATTTGGGATACATCCTGGGTCAGTCTGGGTCAGTGTGGGTCAGTGTCAGTCTGATGTCCCTGGTCCTCAGCTGGTGGCCCCTCCGGCCTGGGGAGTTGGCATGACTGTTGTTAGCATGACCCTATTTGTTAGCTGTGTAGAGGGGGACAGGGACAGGGTGGTTCTCTATAGCTGGGGTCTGATGGAGATGTAGAGACAGGAACCAAGGCTTCCCCCTTTCCCGTTGGCCTGGGGCTGTGGGGTGGAGGCGGGGCAGCTACATCCAGACCCCCCTGTCTACCCAGGGAGAGACACCCCCCACAGCAACACCCCAGCTATAACCAGTATATATGACTATGTATCATTAGAGCTGTAATACCCCCTAGTCTGGCTATGTATCATTAGAGCTGTAATACCCCCTAGTCTGGCTATGTATCATTAGAGCTGTAATACCCCCTAGTCTGGCTATGTATCATTAGAGCTGTAATACCCCCTAGTCTGGCTATGTATCATTAGAGCTGTAATACCCCCCTTTTGCTTGTATCTTTTAAGTGTAATCCCCCCCTTTTGCTAGTTTTTTGGTTTAATTTTGTTGGGTATCTTTAGACTGTTAACCCCCTATCGGGCATTTTACTTTGAGCTGAATACCCCCTAGTCTGCTATGTATCATTGAATGTAAACCCCCTATTTGGGCATTTCATTAAGTGTAATACCCCTGTCGGGCATGTACTTAGGCTGTAAACCCCCAGTTGGTATTATCATTGGTGTAATACCCCCTAGTCTGGCTGGTATCATTAGAGTTTTTAATACCCCCTAGTCTTGGTTTATTGTTATGTATATTAGAGCTTTTAAATCCCCCCTAGTCGGGAAATTTTTTGGTTTAATTAGTTAGGAAGCTGTAATCCCCCCCTAGTGACTATGTATCTTTAGGCTGTAATCCCCCTATTTGGGATGTTCTTTGAGCTGTAATCCCCTAGCGGGCTATGTATCTTAGAGCGTTACCCCCTATTTGGCATGTATCTTAGGCTGTAAATACCCCCAAGTCTGGCTAGTACTTTAGAGCTGAATACCCCCTGTCGGCTATGAAATATTGAGCTTAATACCCCCTTTTTCTTTATCATTAACTGTAATACCCCCTAGTCACTATGTATCATAAGATGTAAACCCCCTAGTTGGCTTTTTCATTAGAGCTGTTACCCCCTAGTCTGGCTATTATCATTAGGTTTTAAAAACCCCTATCTGGCTTGTATCTTTAGGCTTTTTAATCCCCCTAGTTGGCTAGTTCTTTAGAGTTTTTAATACCCCCTATCTGGCATGTATCATTAGAGCTGTTTTTGGGTTGTTTTTTAATTTAAACCCCCCCTGTCTGTATGATCATTAGAGCGAAATACCCTATTTGGCTGGTATCATTAGAGCTGATCCCCCTATCGGTAGTATAGGTTTATACCCATTTTGGATATTAGAGGAATACCCCTGTCTTACTTTTTGACTGTAATACCCATCTCTTGATCATTAGAGCTGAATACCCCCCCGTCGGTTTTCCATAGGACCCCCCTAGGACTAATCTTTTAGAGTGTAATACCCCTATCTGGCTATGTATCATTAGACTGTAATAACCCCCTAGTTGGCTGTATCATTAGAGCTGTAATACCCCTAGTCTGGTATGTACCCATTAGAGCTGTAAAAACCCCCTAGTCTGGCTATGTATCATTAGAGTCAAATACCCCCTAGTCTGGCTTATGATCATTAGAAGCTGTAATACCCCTAGTCTTGTATCATTAGAGCGGTAATACCCCCTAGTTGGCTATGTATCATTAGAGCTGTAATACCCCCTAGTCTGGCTAGATCTTAGAGCTGTAATCCCCCTATTTGCTATTGTATCATAGAGCTGTAATACCCCCTATTGACTATGTATCATTAGAGCTGTAATACCCCCTAGTCTGGTTTATCATTAAGCTAAAAAATACCCCCTAGTCTGACTATGTATCATTAGAGCTGTAATACCCCCTAGTCGGGCATGTATCATTAGAGCGGGTAATACCCCCTGTTGGTATGTATCTTAGAGCTGTAATCCCCCTAGTCTGGCTATGTATATTAGAGCTTTTAATACCCCTATTCATGGCTTGAAATCATTAGAGCTGTAATACCCCCTTCTGCTTTTGTATCATTAGAGCTGAAAACCCCCCTAGTCTGGCTATGTTCTTAGAGCTGTAATACCCCCTAGTCTACTATGTATCATTAGGAGCTGTAATACCCCCTAGTCGGGCTATGTTTTCATTAGAGCTGTATAACCCCCTGTCGGGTTAAATGTACATTAACGTAATACCCCTAGCGGGCTATGTTATTAGAGCTGTAATCCCCCCTAGTCTGGCTTGTA